CCTGTTTGCTGCAGGATAAATACATCAAATGGTCAACTTATTGAAAAATATAGGAAAATAGACTATTGTGAATTCACACTGAGTTTATTAAGCATGTTATATAAAAGTAAATTATTAGAAAATAGTTATTACTTTTAATTACAATAAATGTTTGAGAAAACAAGTAAAATGCAAATTAAACAGTTGCTTTCTTCTTCCTTTATATTCAGTTTTAAAAAAGTTTTAAAATGTTAAAGGCATTTTCTTTAAGCATCAAATCTAATAAACTTTTACTGAAATATTGATCACTTTGCAAAAGAAAGTTTGTAATTATCTTTAGCAACTTCACAATAAACAGAAGGAAAGTCTAGTTGGCTTTATTAGAGCTCAGTTTACACCACAACCTGTCCCAGAATGCATCATGCATCTCCGGCTCCTGTGGACAGTCCAGATAGGTCCTAGTTTTTACCAGCCGGGCCAGTCTATGATGAGAGGAAAGCAGGCAAGATGGAATGGTTTCTAGGAAGACCAGGATAAGAATGTCTCTGTGTTCTACCTGGAGCCGGTAGGTGGCCAGCTGCATCTCCAGTGAGCACCAGTTGCTATTGAGGTAGTTGCGACTGACGAGACAAAGAGTTCGGCGACTTGCATAGATGCTGTCTGTGATGTTTTCCACAATGTCGTGTCCCAACTGAAAGTCCCGACTGTGCAGACAGAGACGCAGAAATGGAGGCCCGCGCTGCTCTAAGTTTGGAAGAAGTTCCTCTATGACCCAGTGCTCATCCTTACCGCTGTAAGACACGAAAGCATCATAGCGGTACTGCTGTTTCTCCTTCATACGCAAAGCCTCTCGAAACCATCCATTGGCGATGTGATAGAATGGCTTTAAGTACTGGCCAACAAAATTATACATCAGGACCACAACAATAAAGATGCACAAAAACACAGAAGTGCTGGTGAACAACACAAAGTCAAGGTCAAATAAGCAGTTCTCCTTGACATAGCTGACAAAGTTGAGTTGGTCAAATTCATTACCAATAAAACACTGCAAATTTTGCATGCTGGGGTTTGACACGACAACCTCCACCTTCCTGTTGTCCTTCACCCACGAGAACAGCCATGCATTATCACAACTACAGTACAGATCTATGCTATCAATATGGATGTATTCCAAATGAACAAGATGTTCCACAAAACTTTGTAGAATGTTAACAGTATGTTTTGCGGAAAGCAAAAGTTTTGTCAGTGCCTTTAAGTCCTTGGTCAGACTTCCATCTAGAAAGAAAATTCTGCAGTTTGACAGAATCAGAGTCTCCAGTTTTGTCAGATTGTGAAACATTATGCCCGTGTTCGGCTGATTTGTAAACTCAATGTTTCGCAGTTTTAGAGTTTTTAAATGAAAAAGCTGATTGATCACAGACAAGTCTCCAATGTTGTCAGAGAACATTGACTGAAATTCCAGACTGACGACTGATGGCACATATTTCCCAATGAAATCATTTTCACAGCTCATATATGCTGCATGTATCTGAAGTTTGACTACAGATGTTAAAAGTAAACTATTGCAGTCCTCAACAATCACATATTGACCTTTGATGTGCAAGTTTAGCCCATTATTCAGTGTGGTATTACTCCCGATCATAAGGTGCATTGGTCTCAGTCCTGAACTAATGAAAACATTACTCAAATTGGATGGAATTCCTCCAAATATATCAGATAAATGCAGCTTGATCAGTGACATGTTAGGAGGGAAGTTCAGATCTCCCAACAGAAGTGAGCTAAGGTTAGTAAAATGTCCAAATGATTTTGGCTCAATGTAAATTATTGGATTTTCTTGGAGATCCAGAACCAGCAGTTCATGTAAGCCACTGAATGTGTGTCGATGAATAGAAGATATTTTGTTTTTACGGAGGTTTAACTCTTTCAGCTTGTTCAATCCAATGAAAGCAAAATCCTCTATGACAACAATTTTGCTTGAGGTAAAGATCAAAGTTTCAAGATTTGGAAAACACATAAATTGGTGAGAAACTATTGTATCCACCTTCTTTAATCGAAGATCCATGGCAGAAAGATGTTTGACTGTTTGTGGAAATGAAGCACACAGAGTTTGGAAATCATCTGATCTGAGCACATGCTTATATATGCTAATAATGGTGAGGTTGCTGAAAATCTGGAAAACACAATTTACATCTAAGAGGTTTGCAGGATATAAAATTGTATCAAGCATTACATCCTTAATATTTTTACAGCCACCAGAAATATTAGTATGAGTTGGCCAAAAGTTAGTTGTTTTATACTTAACTTGTATAGAGTTAATCCCATATAACTTTGCTGCTGTACACAAGTCAGCAACATTAAGTAAATCCACTTTAAAATCCAAAGTTTTGATTTTATGCACTCCAATTAAAGAAAGATCTCTGAGGAAATCTGTGCTTGAAACAGAAAAAACAAATCTAGAGAGCTTTCCAAAAACTTTTAAAGCCCCCTCATCTACATGCTCTACTGTTGCAAAATGCAAATTCACCTCTTCAATATTGAACTCAGTAGATATGTCAGATGTGTTGAAAACAGAGCAGTTTGGGTACTGAAGTCTTTTTAACAAAAATTCCTTTAGAGTAAAATGCTTCAGAGTCTTAACCTTTGACAGCCGACACAAAACCTCAGACATGTCCCTCAAACATACATTAGCTAAAATTAAGTTTTGCAAAAGAGGAATTGTTTCAAAAACATTTGATGCCAGTAACGACAAACTATAGTCTGAAATAGACAAACTGGTAAGTGACGGAAGGTGACTGAAATCAAGAGCTACTTTACTGCAGTTTTCTGAAAAGTTGTAAGATATTGTTAGTGAAGTTACGTTCGTCAATCCATTAAAAGCTTCTGGAGGGATCTCTGAAAAGCATCCAGAAATTGTAAGTTGTTCTAGAGATGCAAAACTTGAGAACGAGTTTGGAGCCAGGACACCATGACAGCCTCCGTCCATATGAACAAAGAGATTTAGTAGGTTTGCAGGAAGTCCTTGAAGGTCTTCTTTTATGTCAGTGACACTACGGCATACAGTAATGTTCAGTTTTGAAGCAGAGGATGCTTTAACAGGAAATTCTTCCCCATCACTGTAGACACGACATTTTTCATTAAGCCAAGAACAAACACATGAAGTCTTCAGAAATAGGATGACGAATCCGAACAGAAGAAGCATCTTCAGTTCCACAATGATCTTCATAGCTTCTTGCCTTGCTGTTTTCTCTCTTTCACTGGAGTCAAGTAACCATGTAACTATATTTATAGAAATCAGAAACTTCCCCTTTTTGTGCCTGGATTCTAGAAATGTGTTACACTTAGATGGCCAAAAATGCTTCATTTCACATTGGTTTTAACGCATCTATTTAAAAGCTTAAAGAAATAGCTTAGATGGAGCTGAAAATGTTGGTCATACTTTGTTTTGATGGTCCGTTTGATGAATTTAAGTTACATTGTATCTACATGCCAACTAGTTTTCAACAGATTTTAAGTTGGGGTTAGTGCTAGCTGACATGTACTTGCAAAGTTTCTTATAGTCAGTTAAATGTCTGTTGAAGGAGCAGTATTAACAGATATTAAGCAGACAGTCTATTAATACTAAAATGAAAATAAAGTGAAAATTTTAAACTCAGTCACCATTTATACTTGTCCTTCAACAAGTGTATGATATGAGAAAGTCATCAGACTCAAAATCGTGACCTTAAATTGCTAGATTTCTTTCCACAATAGAAGCAAGTTGTTACATAATTTAAATATGACAAGTCATCTTTAAGCAAATTCCAAGGTGATGAAATGTTTTGTTAACGGATCGTGTAAACCAGAGGTGTCCAAACCAATGACTGTAAAAAATATGGACGACGCGACAGCCCTTTTTCCCATTGAACGCCTTGAGGGCAAAACGCCTGCTTGACGGGCACAAACTGTCGCAAAAAACTGCTGAAATTGGAACCTTGACATGCGCAGAAGGATTGTCTGATGGAGCCAGAGGAGGAGCCGCGAAAATGAGCAGAGTCAAACTTCCAATCAAACGCTTTATGTAAAATCAACTACGCCCCCCGAACTTCTCAGCATGCGTTTGCTGTCATATCAACACAAATGGATGTAAAAACGTTAACAAATATGAGGGTTTTATATATTCAATCGCGCCAGCTCCAGGCCGCAGCGCATAACTTACTCGCGGCGTCGCGGGCTGATTCCGGCTCGCATGCGGCAGCGCCTGCTCGCTCGGCCGCCGCATCTGGCTCAAATGACAATTGGGTAGTGAGTCCAGGCATCCGGAGTAGGTCCAGCAGAGGTAACGTTAGTCAGTCTGAGCTCTAAGAGATAAGTCTCCGGCAGGCGAGAATCTAGCCGGAACTGTGTTTTGCTATCTGGGTGGCTAGGCGTGTATCAGCAAACTAATAAAGCCCGAAAAAAGCCCTGAACTTAGCGAATAAACAGTGTTCCACCAGGATCATGTATGTCAGAAACTATAGTTTACTGCTGAACTCATTTTGTCATGGTAAAATAACACAGAAATCGAATAATAACATTTCAGTCTACTTCAGTCTCCTGCCGAAGCTCAGACGCCGCGCTTTGAGAAACTGTCAATCACAGCTGTCAATCACGATGACACGCCCAGCATTAAATTACTGCTAAAAACAAACTGTTTACAAAAATGAAGATCTGCACCTATTTCAGCATAATAACCAGTGCCTTAATCGACCAGAAATATCTTTCGGGACATTTTATTGCAAGTGTAATATTTTTTTTTATTTGGGCTCAAGTCTCCTTCATTAACACGGAGGAGGCGGGCTTTATGACTTGTACTGCAGCCAGCCCCCAGGGGGCGATCTAACGGCCGAGACCCTCACTCAAACCAAGGCTTGCGGCACACTTGGTCCAAACCCGGTCCTGGAGGGCCAGTGTCTTGCATATTTTGGTTCCAATCCCAATTAGAAGGTTAACACACAGCCAATATATCCAAATAATAACCAAGCAAACTCTTTGGTATGCTAACATTGCATGTTTAAATATTCCTTTATTCAGGGTGTTTTGCATATAAATATAACACATTAAAAAGTAAAACACTGCATTAAAACTTTCAACAGCTTTTACATGGTAATTTATAGCAGTTAAATGCTTAAAGCAGTTTTAAGACCATTACAATTATGTGTATACAAAGTAACATTTGAATAAATTAGCATATGTTCAACTTACTGTATATATGCACCGCATGTTTCCCTAAATTACTGTAAACTGCTTTATTACACCAGCGATGGAATAAAATGTATTTTTAAGAAGATCTAAGAAGGGAGTATATTTTTAGCAATCCTTTCACACATGTACACTGACTTACAATGTATTACTTAAATGTTGCAGACCCAAGACAAAACACAATCTAGAGAGACAGAGAGTTTTGCATATATAAACAGGTAGGCAGACTCATCAATTTTGTTCTGTCTACTTTATAGCATTTGAAAGTGCATTCATTGGTTTTGACTAGGGTTGACTCTTGAAATAAGCTTGAATAGCTTGTTCACAGTTCATGTCAACAGAAGGTCAGCGCCGGCCCACTAGCAGAGCGTTTAAGCTCACAATTTTGTACCTTTGTCTTTGTTTTGATTGTTGCCATTTTCATCACAGCTAAAACCACCATTCTCCAAGCTGTAACTGTGCTTATCGCAATCCTCAGTGGTGCCTTCCCCATCCTCCTCCACCAACGTCTGATGTCTACAGCGCTTGATTGAGTAATGAACTAAAAAAATGGATAAATGCAGTGAATTTCAGGATTGCCAAACAGGCTTATCTCTATAAACTACAGCTTAAAATCAAATCAACTTCTTAGTTACTTACTTGACACTGCAATCCCAGCCACAACCAGTTGGAAGATACTGTAGATTAAGGGAAACGCGAACATGACCTCAAGCTCTGCAGGGCTAAAGGACAACTGGGTAATAGTACTTGCCAGCTGGGCGTTCTGCATGCCTGTTTCTAGAGCAATGGTGCGGCACCTGCAATCACGTTCACAAGAAGTTAACCATTGAAGAGAACAGCACAAGTGTTTTTTTTTTATTTTGCCACCTTTATTGATGCCTAGAACACGTGAGCTAACTGCTCTGTGAAACACTAAAGAATACACAACGCATGTTACTCGTATGGTTTCGAATGGGGAAAAGTGTAACGGTCAATATAGCGAATTAAGCCCCGTCTACTATACAGAAGCCAATTGTTGATCGCTATAGGCTACTTTCACATCTGTGGTTCATTTGGGCCAGAGCAAGGGCAACAAATGATACACTGTAGCTTTTTTCTGCCGTTTTTGGGTCCTATTCACACCACACTGATTGCTTTGGTCCGAACCAGTTGAAAAGAACCAAAATGCAGTAATGTGACACATTGCTCATTGGCCAGATGTTATTGAACGCATTTCCTAAGCTGTTTTTTGATTGGTCAGAATAAATGTGCAGGAAAATGATAATTTTACTCCTGCAAGAAAAGAAAAAAAAGAAAGGTAGACACAAAATGTCGCTTTTTACTATAGAGGGTCGACATCGCTGGCTGACTGTATCCCGGTCATAGTATACTACATAGTTTGTATACATCACTGTAGACCACAGGTGTCAAACTCCGTTCCAAAAGGGCCGCAGCTCTGCACAGTTTAGTTCCAACCCTAATTAAACACACCTGATCAAACTAATTGAGTCCTTCAGGCTTGTTTGAAACCTACAGGTAAGTGTGTTGGAGCAGGGTTGGAACTAAACTGTGCAGGGCTTTAGTGCAGGAATTAAGTTTGACACCCCTGCTTTAGACAAACTATACATTTTAGGAACAAAGCGTGGCTGCGGCTGGAAAACAATTTTTAATGCATTGCAAATGACGAAGGCGCATCGCAAGTCAAGTCAGGAGGAGGCGTGGATTAATTTTGCTAAACTGCAAAATGGTCATCTATTGGAAATATTACCAACAATCCAACAGCTAATGTTTTACCCTCCCTCTCCCTTTCTCTCTGTTTAAAATTGTTGATAAAGCTCTGTCAACAAACATTTTTCCTCCAGATTCCATAATATACATCGCATTGTTCCGCTTCAGAGTTTGTTTGAAAGCGTACTGAAACCACCTTTTCAAGGAGGCCTCAGTATGCTTTTTTGGTCCACTTTTGTTGGGCACTAGAGTAGGATTGCTATATTCATACCTGCCCAAACAAATCGCACCAAGCGGGAAAACAAACTCTAATGCCATTCAACCGTAGTAAGAAAGGAAGGTGTGAATACACCCATAGACTGACGTTTCTCTGGGGGAGAAACTCGGACCAGATGTGTGCTTTGACGACAATTTAGATTGTGAACAAACACACTGGAATTTTATTGGTGATTCCAAATATGTAACATAATCATAATTTGGCAAACAGTTTTGGAGAATTTGATGTTTCTCCATTTAGACAGAATGCCCACGCGACGTTTCAAAGACGGCCGCCAAGTGAAATCATTTGCATTTAAGGGACTTTGGAATCACTTGTTGCTTTCATATGGACATCTTTAATGTCCAAACCTACTACACTGCTTCCACTTTATCAAATTCCCTGACTTTTATGGATTAAAAATCTGCATATATATTATATAATATTAAAATAATACCAATTATATTAAAATGGTTTTAGCTTGAATAGAATTTTGTATGACTTAAATAGTGACTGTGAGAACAATAATGGATAATTTACACATTACTTTTTGCATAGCTGTGAAGTGATCTCTTTTCCAAATTTCATAACTCAAAAGTTTTTTGTCATCGTTTTTTTTTTTTTTTACACCCAGTCTAAGAAATGGTAATTTTAAAGTCAAAGCTATCAAAAATGTATGTTATCCTGGCATATTAGCTTTAGTTTAACATATTTAACAAGTACGGCTTGGAGACTGCTGCCAGATGTGCAAAATGAACAAGATGGAGCTGAAAAATAGCTATTTAAAATATATAATATAAAATATATTTATCTTTAACATATTTTTTTTTCTGAAGACATTTTAAGCATATGTATTTTTAGACATTTAAACATTTCATGCAACTTCACTAAAGTTTGACTTTACTAATGGCCAGAAACACTTCAACAAAAAAAGTTCTGTGGAGTTACACAATTTATGACCATTAAAAGGTGGAAAAACAGTTTGTACATCACTAGATTGGCTACGCCTGAGGCACAGCTCATGGCAATAATTTCACTCAAATTGTTGTAAATTTTTACCTGTGCCAAGGTTGGCCCACAAAGCGTGCCAAGAGGAACCCTAAGCCAAATCCAATAAATGGATAAATGGTACCAATGATCCAAAGTGAGGGAGCAATGGTCCATGAGGACTGATAAAGCACACCACCAATTACTGCAATGACGATGATGAGGACAATTCCCACCACAGATCCAACCTGTTTATAAAACAAGCATGAAGTCACACAGGATGCATAAGGATTTACAATAATAATAATAAAAGAAATAAAAAAACTCACCTTGAGGATCTTTTTGGCAGCTTTAGGCCACTTGTGTTTCACTAACATCCCAAGACCGACAGGCACAAGCAAACTCACCAGTGTGATCCCTTGAAAAAAACGGTACAATTTAGGATACAACTCCTATGTCCTAAATATATAAAATAAAAATAAAAAACAATGTGCGGTCATTTTACCAATATTGTCGTAAGGAATCTGAATCGCATCGCCTGCAGTCCAGATTGTGGTGTAAATGAGCAGACAAAGAGGCATCATTCCCAGAGCCAAAATTGAAGAACACGCTGTCATGCTGATGCTATGGGTGGCAGAAAAGATGTTTTATTATACAGTTACCAAAACTGCTTCTGTGTTATCTAAATAAATGTGCATAATTGGATTATACATACTCTTCTTATTAAGCGACTATAATGATTAAGCGCTATTTCACCATTTTATATTTAGCTATGCTTTATAAGTAAAGAAAAATGATAGAAAAAGAAATTTCTATAAAATATTTCACAAATTTCTGTAACAATACTTTAAAAACTAATAATAGATTAAGGCTTTAGTTAGGCTTATTATAAAAGTAACTTTCCCACATTGCATATTATTAGCCCATACTAAAATAATACAATAAATATACAAAAATAAGAAACTATTATTTCCGAAGATAAAACTGAGTAACCAGATACAATTACGTACACAAGATTAGCTGACCACTTAAATTGAGTAAATCAGCTTTTAAAATGGTTAGTTGATTTAAATTAGGGTTGAGTCAAGAGAGTAAACCCATTGCCTTAATCTTTTTACATAAATGAACTATGTGGATAATTACAAAACATAAGTTAAATTAACTTAACAGTTCCAAATTACAATAGGTTTACTTTCTTTTTTTAGGTAATGTCAACTTGTTGCCTTTGAAGCAACAGATTTAGTTACTTTTTTAAGTAAATAACCACTTTTTATAGTGAGTATATAGCTAAAAAGTGTATTTATCTACTAACAGTATATAATACAGCATATTTATCTACTAAATAAATGAGCAAAGTAAAACACAAAAAAATTATAATAAAAATCCTGTCATGTTTGGAAAGCACTTTGGGTTTTGCAATGTCTTCAGTGCTACAAACATTAAAAAAGAAAAATAAATCGAAGTAAACAGATTGACTTTCTCACCTTAGGTCCATGTCTCCATCAAGCCAGTAGCAGAAAACATTAGAGCTTGATCCTCCAGGGCAGCAGCCCATGATGATGATGACCACCGCCTGGACTGGCAGCACGTTGAAAAGCAATGAAAGTATGAAGGCTGTGAAAGGCATGATGCCAAACTGGCAAAGGAAACCTATAAAAATGCCCCAGGGTCTGCGAACGTGCCCCCACAGTTTTCTAGCCTCAACAGTGCAGCCCATTGAAAACATAACCATGGCCAACATGACGGTAATGGCAACGCTCATCACAACGCTGAGAATGTCGTTGAATGGATCACGGGGCACCAGGCAAGACGTGCCCGTGCAGATGGTGGCATTCACCGGGCAGACTGGCTCTAATGTGCACATGGTGTCAAAAGTGAGTGATCAAAAGTAGGATCCTAAAGGGATGGAGGTGTAGATTCCAATCCAGAGGCTGCAGAGCAGATGTTTCTCAAAGAAAGTTAGCTACGATTTCAGAGCGTTTCTATACATTTCTTGTTGGTTCCCTGTTCTCTCCATCCACAGTGACAAAGAGTGAACTCTATCACTTACAGCTTTAATATGTGCCTGGGGTCTATAAAATTTAGAGGAAAAAAATGCTGAAAAATAATTAACTCGCTGCAAATGTTTTATGGGGTCAGTGTCCAAATGCTAACACATGAAAGACAGAGTGAGTGAAAAATAAAGAATGCCATTGTCAAAGTTAAGTTTAGGCATAATAAATGAAATTGCACCCTTATGCCATTTTATAACATTGTGGTACTTAAATTTTATTGTTTTTTCTCCTGGTACAGCCCTGAACCATCACCACCACGCTGTTACTAAGTGCCAATCAGTCCCAATGGTGAACATGCGTCAGAAGTACATGAATCGAAAAAAAGCCATAAAGCGTTTTTTTTCCTTTTAAAAACCCTTTAGTAACTAAAGGAATGTATATGATACCTCACCAGCAATGCAGTGCAAAAATGCACATATACCTTCAAATAAAAGGCACAAAGTTCAAGGAATGAAATAAGAAACATTTTGTTTAAACTCTATAACATCTGTAAAGACACTTGAGCACAAAGTTCATTGATGGAATTGGTGCATACTGTACTGTTCTCTCAGGGTATGTAAAAAAATAAAAACATAAAAATTAGATCTGCTCATCTAAACTAATCAAGCCCCATTTACAACTCAACATGTTTTAATTGGTGTAAAGCTTTTAACTCTGGATTTTGAATCTCTGCTCTAGTGTAAGGAAGGCTTTTTCAGACCAGAGGCCATATACGATACCACCGTAATTAGCCAGAGTAACTTTGAAACATTTTGACTTTTAGCCGTAAAATGAAAACAAAATTTAAACAATTCATAAATATGAAGTACTTCCAAGAATTTTTTTTATTTTTACAAATTTATAACACTTAGTCTTTGCTTGGTTTAGGGTGTCTGTGGGTTTAACACATTGAGAGGATTTTTGGTTCTGTGATTAGATATTCTATGAATAGGTCAGTTTTTAGTTAATATGTTAAAAGAACAACTGATCTGGAACTGAGCTACAAGGATCATTTAGGAATGAAGATTCTTTTGTTTAAAATTGACAAGAATCTTCCACAACGTGTCACGGTGGTGCAGTGGGTAGCATGATCGCCTCACAGCAAGAAGGTCGCTGGTTCGAGCGCTGGCCGAGTGAGTTGGCATTTCTGTGTGAAGTTTGCATGTTCGCATGGGTTTGGACCCACAGTCCAAAGACATGGGGTACAGGTGAATTGAATAAGCTAAATTGGGCATAGTGTACGTGTGTGAATGCAAGAGTGTATTGTTGTTTCCCAGTTTGTAATTTTTTACACTTGAATGAATCAAAAACTGAAGTACTGGTATTTGGCCTTCCAAGCCTTCCAAGTTAAGTGACTTAAAGTTTGACAAGCAAATAAATTCAGTCGTCAAAAGTGGTTTCTATCATCCATGGAACATTGCTTCAATTGTACGCCTGCAGCTACTTCAAAATGCAGCTGCTCTGAGACAAAAAAAAATTCCAGTATCACGCCAGTTTTATCACCCCATTCACTGCCTCCCAGTCCAATTTAGGATACAATACAAGTTATTGTTATTTGTTTTTAAAGGTTTGAATGGTCTGCCACCTACTTACATTGGTGAGCTTCTTCACTTGCAAACTTCATTGAGGGCAATCAGGTCGGAAAACCAGTTTCAGCTAGTTGTTCCCAAATCGTGGTTAAAATCTAGAGGTGACAGGGCTTTTTCCCACACAGCCCCTCGTCTGTGGAATGGTCTGCCTTTACATATCAGGTCATGTTTTCCCTTGGAGCTTTTAAGTCTCATTAAAAAAAAAAAACTTCCTCTCTATTGGATAGATAGATAGATAGATGGATGGATGGATGGATGGATGGATGGATGGATGGATGGATGGATGGATGGATGGATGGATGGATGGATGGATGGATGGATGGATGGATGGATGGATGGATGGATAGATAGATAGATAGATAGATAGATAGATAGATAGATAGATAGATAGATAGATAGATAGATAGATAGATAGATAGATAGATAGATAGATAGATAGATTTTGTATGTTGGTCGCTTTGTAAAGCACTTTGGTCAACATCTCTTATTTTTAAATGTGCTCTATAAATAAAGCAAACAAGCAGTGTTAGGTTGTGGCTAGAAGGACATCCGCTGCGTAAAACATATGCTGGATAAGTTGGCAGTTCACTCCTGAATAATAAAGCAACTAAGCCAAAAAAATAAATAAATAAAAGAATGAATGAATCTTCCACAAATTAACAGACAACAACCAAGCTGCCAAAAAAAAAACAAACAAAAAAAAAACATGCAATTAACTTGAGGGTCTGAATAACTGTCATAGTATTTAATTGATTTGACTGAAATGTCATAGACTAAATGAAATAGATCGATGAAATGCACAAAAATAAATGATTTTGAACGATTATGAAAATTATTCTACAGCAAATACAGGTTTCAACAGTAACTTTTAGGTTGAATTTATACAATCTGTATATGAAGCATGGAGTTAATTCCACATGGTAAATTTCTTCATTTTTTTAATCACTGCGACTAATATCAGTGTGTATGTACTATGCCATGATACCATTTACAAAAATTAAAATTTTTCTTATTTCCTCTGAAAGCTCACTCACACTCAATCCTGGATCATTCATGGAGTTCATACAGGGTTGAATGAATCCTGAAACCAGTAACAACATGATTCCTCTGCATTAGTCATTAATGCACAGACTCGACATCAACATTTCTATGCTTAAAATTGGTCTTTTTCAAAATGTGTTTTGGAAATGAGATTTGTCCACGTGGTGTCAGTGCATGGCAGTCCTGTACATTCATGATTGTTTAGCAGAAAGCAGTTGTTTCCCAGTTACGTGTGCTATGAAACATCTGAGCAGGTGAATCCCGGAGAATTGGACTGAACTGCGGGTTATAGAAAGGAACGGAAGAGAGAAATAAAATTAGGTGTAAGAATGTAATAACCCATGTTACTTATCACCTTATCTGTGAGAAAATGACTTACTGTATTGACACGAAAATAAACTGCAACTGTTTCCAGAACCACTAGCCTTATCTTATCAGCTTACTGTTATCAGTTGATAATAATCAGACCACATTAACATATTTCTCCTAACACAGAATGTTCACCATGCTTATAAAACTATGGGTCAGATGCTGTGAAATATTTGTACACAGGATTTATGGAATTGCTGCGTTCAAGGGTACCTCAAATGTACACTCATACTCACATAAAACCTAAAGAAGTGGTTAACGATGAGTGCGCAATATACACTTATCATTGCTCTAACACGTTTAAACAAGATGACACTTGTAAAGTAAATTTTAAATAATCCAACTAGGAAATAACTCTAATGTGGTAGAAAAATGCAGTGCAAAAGCACACACTAGGAGTTTTTGTGTTTGAGGACTAATGATTCTTATTCACTACATACCCTAAATTCCTCACAAAAGCACACATATACTTGCATATATACATGCTCAAATATTATAAACTATGTTTTTTTGCATGATTTTCATGATTTATACATCAAGCAATATACATCTACATTTATACAATATACACACATTATACATACAATATACATCTACATTTATACATTATACACACCCAGATTTAGATGTCAAATATTTTTTAAAAATTGGCAAAGCTGAATTTTCTGAATGTAAAATTATTCTTTGATTTTGATCAAGTTTCTTCTAATGGATTTTCCTTGTTGAATAAAGAATTAATTTCGTTCCACATAAATAAGTAAATGATAAAAATATAAATGTAAAAACATAAATATTCCTAAAAAAAGCATGAGCTGGGACTGCAAAATCCACTGAATTAAACCCCAACCTGGACAGTGTTATCTAGCTGGCTAACATACGAGGACAACGATATTCAAACTCAGTTGTTTATCACGTGTACCAATCCAGTTCTGTTCTAACTTATATCACAACAGTCTATTTAAATCATACATCCAGTCTCTCTTGAGTGCTCGGCAATTCTGCACCTCAACTGCACTACACTACATACCTGCACCATTCAAACTCCTCCTAGCTCAATTCTGATATCAATTCGAAGTATAACCAAGTACATGGTAATCATTGGTAATCAGCCTCAGGTATGTATGTATGTATGTGTGTGTGTGTGTGTGTGTGTGTGTGTGTGTGTGTGTGTGTGTGTGCGCGCGCGCACACGAGCGTGTGTCTGTCTGTCTGTCTGTCTGTCTGTCTGTCTGTCTGTCTATCTATCTATCTATCTATCTATCAACCTCACTGAACTATGTATCGTTTAATTATTTAATATTTAATAAAATACTACAATTTATTTATAATATGACTGGGCCAGCAAGGAAAACAATATAATCATTGCCAATCTCTGTACATGTGTTTTAAACCTTACTGAATGCTAAATTACTGCAACATTAAAGAATAATATTTGTTTGTTCATCTGCTTTTAACACCGTGCTTGCTACTATGACTATTTTCACACATTGTGACAAAGTAGTGTGTTTGTGTGTGTATCTCTCTCTCACCTCACTAAAAATGGTTGTGGGAAACAAGCTGTGGTTTGCTTTTTGATGAAGTCCTGAAGCTCCAGAGCAAGAGCCAACAAAGCACCCTGTCGGGTTCTGTCTATCTTGGTTACCACCAGCTAAAAAACAAACAACAACAAAAACAACACGGAAGACATTTGTTAATTTTTAGACTGCTATATTCTGTAAGTTACATTTTACTTTCAGTGGAGCAACAATAATGCTCAGAAAAAATAATAAAGTAAAAAAAAGACCTTTGAGTTGAAAAAAGGACTTTGCGCGATAATGATTATTTTTTTAACAAACCTTAAGACTGATGGGTGTTTTAAAAAAGATTACAGCACAAAAAGTCTCTGTGAAGTAAGAGGACAATGAAACCTGCCAAAAAAATGTAAACAAATTTTAAATCATATAGGGCGTCACAGTAGCGCAGTGGGTAGCATGATCACCTCACAGCAAGAAGGTCGCTGGTTCGAGCCTGAGCCAGGTCAGTTAGCATTTCTGTGTGTAGTTTGCATGTTCTCCCCATATTTGCATGGGTTTCCTCTGGGTGCTTCGGTTTCCCCCACCGGTACAGGTGAATTGAAAAAGCTAAATTGGGCGTAGTGGATGTGAGTAAATGTAAGAGTGTATGGGTGTTTCCCCGTGTTGGGTTGCAGCTGGAAGGGCATCTGCTCCATAAACATACATGCTGAATTATTTGGCAGTTCATTCAGCTGTGGCGACCCCTGATTAATAAAGGGACTAAGCCGAAAAGAAAATTAAAGAATGAATGAATGAATCATACTTAAGGTTTGCATAAATATTTGAAAGCTAATATGTTATTTCAAAGAAAAACAATGAGGGAGTATATGGATTTTGTATGTGTGTGTTTTCAAAATTCAGTCATCTTGACGTTCTCTTCTACATTCTGGTCAAAAGTTTGTATTGTACTCTAACATCCCCTGCTGGACAGTTACAGCATAACAAATAAAAAAGATGAATTGATTAATTTGAATAAAAACAACAACAACAATATTAATAATAATAATAATAATAATAATAATAATAATAATAATAATAATAATAACTAGTTTTTGCTTCGCTACGGGACATACAGATTTAGAAGCTAACATTTGCAGAATTGTCAAAAAACAAATATGTGTGTTTAATTACTACAAAAAAGCAACATCTGCACCTTGTAGATAAAAATAGCTTTCAGTAGCAACGTTTTTTTTTAATTCAGCAGATCATTGGGTAGCTAAAAAAACTCCCTGTATGCAATAGCTCTAATTTGTTTTTGTGCTACCACATATAGTACACAGACATATTTGTTTCAAATGTTGTCTTAGTGAGATAATATGCCACATTGCATTGTGGTAGCTTGAAAGTCTAAAGGAAATCAAATGTACCCGAGTACTAACAGGACAAAAGTAGAAATATTGTCTATGTATCTGATTTGAAAAATGCTTATAGAAGTAGTTCAGAATGTCCTCATTTTGATATTTGTGCTTACTGTGATAGGTGAGCAAAATAATAATAATAATAATATATTTATTTATTTATATAAACACATTTAAATTCAGCCAAACACTCACCACATAAGGCAAATTAAATTCTTCAAACATCTCCACAGCAACTAAATCAGTACTCTGCAATCCTGCACTTGCATCCACCAGCAAGAACGTCCTCGCCAAACTACAGATAAAAATGAGAGATCACGAAACACTCCCTTTACTATGCATTTATTCAGACACAAACACATAAAGCTTCAGTATATAAGGAATTAGTTAAAGTACAGCAGTAACTTCAACCTACTTGTGGCGCTCCTGAAGATACGGTTCAACCATCTCTACAAAGTCCTGTGGTGCCATGTGTCCATAGCCAGGCATGTCTACTAGAGTAAACGCTTTTCCCACAGTAAAGAAATTGAGCTTTTTGGTGTGACCCTGTGTAAAAATATAGAATTAGGTTGAGATTAGACTTTTATTTTACAGAGGAATAAATTGCTAGAACATCCCTGACATACATACTCACTGGAGTTTTAGAGACCCGCACTTCCACCTCTGGTGCAAGAGAGAATAAGGCACGGATGAGAGAAGACTTCCCCACATTACTCCTGCCCATAAAACACACCTGTAACAAACATAAACAATCAAACCAAAGATTGATACACCTCGATTGGCAGACAAGGCTTAAAGAGATGTTTCACCCAAAACTGAAAATTATGTCATCACTTGTCAAAACCCTGTTTGTGTTTCTTTCTTCTGGTGAATGCAAAAAAAGAGATTTTGAAAATTTCATGTCACAAAACTGTTTAAGTTTCTTTCTTCTGGTAAATAATACAAACGAAGATATTTAAAAAATGCTAAAAACCTGTAACCACAGCCTTACATACTAAGGGAGCCTTTGGTTACATGTTTCTAATTTTTCTCAAAATTACTTATTTTGGTGGTGGATGAGGAGATCCCCCCCGTTGTGTAAAGCGCTTTGAGTGTCCAGAAAAGCGCTATATATTTTGTGTTCAAAAAAAAAAAAAAAAAAAACTACAAACTTTTGTAGGATATAAGACCTTTGAATATATCAATGATTTTGATTTGTCCCAATATTTTTTTTTCAAAGGAACATTAAAAAATAACAAAAAAATTGCATGGCCTAATACTGGCTTAATCTACTGTATATAAGCCCTTTCTATTGAGGTAAAGTTGGTTTTATGTTCACACATTCAAACTTTCTCCTTAATAATATAATTTTAGAAAATTATTCTTTGAAAAATTCTAAAACTTGAAATCCCATTAGCAGCCAATGACTATCAAAGTACAACATTGTTGACAGTTACTAAATAGTGCTAATATAGGGACACTTTAACGTGAAAAAAGCTTATTGTGGCTTTATGTACCTAAACATAAACCCAAATTCCTGTTAAACTTTTCTTGTAATTAACCCTAAATACTGTAAAAAGAACAAGTCTCAAACTTCATAGATAAAGTGAAAAACATCACGTTAAGTAAAATCTATAATAAGTAAAAAGCTTAACATGGCTTGATGTACCTTAAGCCTGGTTTATACTTCTGCGTCAAGTGACCGGCGTAACTCACGGCGCAGGCAACGCGCGCAGCTTTGCATTTATAATTCTGCACGCTGTCTCTGTTGGTCTGAATTAACACTTCCGAAACGCTAGTGGGCAGTGAGGTGTAAATGTTCCTCTGTGTTTTTTGAGAGGTGCACGTCAGCGACGCCGACGGCCATGGCAAAGGGCTATGCGTCAGCGCCGTAGCATAAACGTAGCCGTTTGACGCAGAAGTATAAATCAGCCTTAACATCAAGTGGGGGAAACCAAATTTTACTTGTGATTAGCACTAACTACAAGCAATAGAATGAGCCCCATTTCCACAGCTAAAGTGAACAATATTGTGTTAAGCTTATTCCCCTATGTTGTTGTGGGGATGTCAATGACATGCACAAGTGCATTCTTTTGACAGCAAGGGTTAATCTATTATCAATTAGATTTGATTTTATGAACAGCCTTTTTAACATTTAGGTTTCCCTCAGTTGTTGTAAAGATACATTAAGACTTTCCTTAATATGAACTTCAATGGGGAGAAAACGCTTAACGTGATATTGTTCACTATATTTATGGAATTAAGGCCCATTCTTTTGACAATAGTTGGTGTTAGTCACAAGTAAAGTTTGACAGAAATTTGGAAAAATTAAAGTGATGTTGTTTACTTGACAGAAGTGTTTATGAGTATATTTGCATAGAAATTTGACTGTCTCCGCATGTTAAGTTAAACCACACTAGCTCTTATATTGGACTTCAATAGAGATAAAACACTTAACGTGACATTGTTGACTTCATTCACAGAATCAGAGCTTGATCTTTTGCTAGTAGTTACTGTTAATCACAAGTAAAATTCGATAGATTTTGGTGTGCCCCACTTGTTGACTTAAGCTTTTTCCTTTTGTAATGAATTTCACTGGGAAGAAATGCATAACATTATAATTTCCATTTCTTTCTTTCATTCTTTTGACATTAGAAAGTGTTTGTCACTAGTAAAATCTGATAGAAATTTGACTTTCCATCCTTGTTGATAAGGTACATTAAGCCATGTTAAGCTTTTTTCCTTATAATGGACTTCAATGGGTGGAAAAAACGCTTAATGTGATGATTTTCAATTTATCTATGGAATTCTGACTCATTCTTCTTACAGAAATTAGGGTTAATTACAAGTACAGTTTGGCAAAAATTTGGGTTTCTCTGGTTGATGTTTATGTGCATTAAGCCATGTTAAGCTTTTTCATGTTAAGTGTTCTCTAATGTAGTTTTGAAGTCATATTTACATGCAGTTTCATACAACTGTCCCCCCACTTTTAAAATGTCCACTACGGTCCTGGTGACAACTGCAAATAAATAATCCCATTTTCTGCATTTAATTGCAGTTTTTAAACAGAGTTTAAATAGGTTTTGAGGACATGGTGCCACTTAACGAACACATAAACACAATCTTATCTCACCTCAGGCTGTTTAAGAATAGGGACATGGTCCATCCTGACAGCAGAAGTCGAGTAGTTGATGACATGTTTAGAGGAGGGAGTGAAAAGTGTCTCTGCCTGGCGGAGTTCCTCCAAACTGGGATGGAAGATCTTGAATTGTGCCTGATTGACCTGTGAGAACAGGTGCCCCTCCAGATCACTAAAAGGGTACAGCAGACTCTGACGCTTCCTCTCTGAGAGCTGACACACATGTTTGATGGAGGCCAGACGATGACCTCTCTGAAGGACCAAAAGCCAACACGATACTCGTGTCTGCAGTGGTGCCAGTGCCTTTATCCTCAGCATTTTGTTGGATCAGTTCATTAAAGATGAGATTGGTTGACTTTGGAAATCAGTTTTTTAACTGCACTGATGTCTGATTCATTGTAATCTGTTACATGGGAATTCTGAGTTAAAGTTGCCTTGTTTTATTATTTTTTTTCTTGAATTTTTAATAATTTAACTAAGAAATACAATCAAGTATTGATTATTTTTATCCAGTGTTACCATGGTTTACGTCTACACGGGATTCACATATATGTTATACTTCAAATTATTATAAAAACATTTCATAACGTTTTTGTTGTACACATGCTGCAAGAAAAAAAATGGTCACATAGAGACATCTTACTGCAAATCCGATAACATCTTCAGGTTAAATTCGCTGGGCTGAAAATTAAATTTTATAACTATTAAACCTGAAATAAACCCAATTTCTATTTGTAAAAAGACCGTAAAAATGTCTCATTTATTGATTTTAAATGTATCGTACTTGTGTACATGCGCGTACTACATCAGAATCAATCCGGAGGAAACAAACGAGTGAACAAAGGTTCCGCATTTTGTGTAAAGACTGCAAGCGTGGGACTAGTGGATGGTATGGTACAATACAGATTGTATTCGATATGCCCAAAATAACTATTCATTTTCGAAAGGGTAAGTGTTGTGAAAATATGTGACTACACCATAGAAAGAACTAGCTACAATAAAGCACTAAATAGCTTTAAATCAGACCCAAAAAGGCTGCAGCGGACTGTCAGGACAGCTGTGAGGATTTGGTGTGCACCTGCGCAACCTCCAGGACTTGAACATCTCCAAAATGAGAAAAGAGCAGGTAACATCAAGACCCCTCTCACCCAAGCCACGGACTGCTCACATTTCTCCTTTCAGGCAGTACAGATCTTTATGCACTAAAACATCTTGGCATAAAAACTCTTGGCATTAAAAATCTTAATTTCCTCAGGACATAGTCTATCCAACTGAAGTCATTTGCAACCTGTTTTCATGAACACAAAGTACACTTATAGTTTGTGTTTTTTTAACTAATAAAGCCACTTAATTGTAAATACTTTTATTTAATTTTGTCATACAGTTGAAGTCAGAATTATTAGCCCCCCTGAATTGTTAGCCCTCTACATGCATGCCCCGTTGCAAAGTTGACCCAATTATAACCATTGATTTGGCCCACCTAAAAGGAGAGTAGAAATGATAGAGAGGGTTGGGGCGAATGACTGAAACACAGAGATCATCATTTCTAAATTGACGTAACCTGTTTTGTTTGTTATATTGCTGAGCTATAAGAAAAAGCAAACTGAATTGAAATCTTTCAGTTAAATGTTGTAAATGAATCTGATTTTTAAAAATAGCGGATAGAAAACTGTTCAGAAGACATCTGCAAGCAAATCAAATGTAGTTTTACTAATAAATAATTATAAAATGTAAAAAAAAACAACACTGTATTAGTTAAAGCAATACGTTTTCTAGTAATTTTTAAAAACTATTAAATAAATTAGGAAGTTACTTATGAAAACTAAACCTTCAACCCACTAGCATAAGTCATGTTTGATTTGTGGCCCTTCAAAAGAAAAAGGTTGGGCACCCCTGATTTAAACACTACAGGATAAAACAGTCATTCATTTTTTTCTTAAATCTTTCGGGATTGGTGGTCTTGAATTTGTTTCAAGATGTGGTTATGATTGTTCAAAACTTCCTTTGAAGCTGTCTAATTTTCATAAGCAAGCACTGCTCTTTGAGACACTGCTCACTGCAGAGCCATTTGAGCAGAGCTGAGCTCCAGCGAGGGGGAGCATGAGCTCAAGGAGGAGCAAGAGCGCAAGCTCCCCCTCGCTGGAGCTCAGCTCTGCCCAAATGCCTCTGCAGTGAGCACCACTTGGGGGCTTTTTTGGAAAATGATATTTATCCATAATTTTTCCCCTCATAAATCCACTCTTTGGAATAATAGGACTATTGTTATTATTAACATAAAATCATTGTTTAAAAGTGACTGATACAGTAAAGGCATAGAATTTAATAATGATTTGTTAGATGAGAATGGACTGCTACTATCTTATAACAAATTTTTAAATAAGTAGAATTAAAATGATAGATAAAGGTTATTCTATATTTTATGAGGCCACCTACGGCTTTGTTTAGGTTAATTCAAAGTAATTATTTGATCCCCCATGTGCATATGTAACTTTTCTTCCGTCTTTAAAAATATCAAATGTTGATATTTTTGAAAGTAAATGTAACAAGCGTATTAACGAAGAATTTAAACGCATTATCATGGGTGATTATAAGTGTTATCATCTAGTTGTTGAACCCTAGTAGAGGACAAAGCTTTCACCTTTTATCTTAAATATCCTGTAGCACGTAAGGTTAAGGAAACTCATTACAGAATTGTATTTAGGATATACCCTGTGAATGAGTTTATTCAAAAAAGATTTAACTTTGATGTTGACAAGTGTAGCTTTTGTTCAAATCTTCCAGAAACATATGATCACTACTTAATTTTTTCTTGTGAATTTACTTCTAAATTCTGGTTTGACATCTATGACTTTCATTAAAGATGTTTTCAGTCCCTCCTAGTGTTCCAGAAGACATTTTCTTTTACAAATGTGAATAACATTTTTCTTTCTCTGATGTTGTGAACTTATTTTACTACTGGTTAAATATCATATTCATTGTTGTAAATGTTAAAAATGCAGGCCTCTTTTAGATGTTTTCTTTGTGGCTCAAAGCTTTAAATACTTCAGAAACCAAAATAAAATAACCGAAGCTCTTTCTACTTCCTTTTCAGAATATTGTTAAAATGTTTTTTTTTCCCTTTGATGTAGGTCTTGTGTACTGCTCCTTGCTGTTGTTGCAGTTGTAACAGTTTTAATTTATTTTATTAGTAATCATTACTTGCGATGTTGATTGTTTCCTGTTTTGTGATGTAAACTTTTTGCAACAATAAAAAAAAGAAAAAGAAAAATCTTACGCGGGGAAAAAATAATTTTAAGATTTTTGGACCGCTAGAGGGCAGCAATGTCTTACAATTATTTTAAATTATAACCAGGATTTCCCTCTTTCAAAAACTGTCCCATTTTAGAACTTAGAAAAATCTCAGTACTTCTACTTGTTTTCTACTTTGACTCCTGAAAAAAATGGGTAGAAATCTACTGTTTCTGTGAATATTTACAGCCAGGGCATGATTTTAGACGTAGAATTAGCATAGGTATTTATTTACAACCCAGCTAGTTTTATTACCTAATTGACTTCAAAAAGGACTATAACCTTGACAGCCTGCCCGACCTTTTTTACTGCCGGAAAATTAATAAGTACAGTGAATTTATCCCTGGTAAGAAAGCGGGCTTTAATGGCCATTAAATCAGCTGTAAGTGCACAGACAGTTGAAGGGAGTATTTATGAGGATGAAAATTGCCTACTATCTAAAACCTTTAAAGCTCCAGCTGTCTAGGAAGATAGATCCCAGTACAGCCTCACATCTACACTGATTCAACTATTCATCCACTAAAGAATAAACCGGAGTACTGACTTGAGATCAGTAAATATAGTTCAACTAAAAATGTATAGCTTTCTTACAAAAATGCAGAGTGGAATAGCAACATAAATAAAAAGCATTCAGTATCTGTAAATTGTACTGAAAAAAGAAAGATGACATATATGTAGCCATTCCTTATGAAGTCAAAAACTGTTTTTTTTTTCTCACAGACTTCAACATTAAACCCAGAGAACAGACACACAGATGAAAGTGATGAAGACAGAAATGTGAAGTGTAGGAGAAAAATGTGGATGGAAAGTCCAACAGAAGAAGAGAAAAAATGTAGACAAAAGAGTTTGGAATTGAGAACAGGAGTGAATAATGAAAGAATCAGAATGCTAAATGTAAAGATGGAAAGTAGAACTAGATGGATGTGAATATTAGGATCTTGAGGAGTAGAAACAGATTGCCAGACAGCCGGTTTTAGAAATGGAATAACTACTCACTGTTTTAAATAGCACTGTATGTATGCAATACAGTAATTTGATTTTACATAAAATTATCTGGCAGTAATGAAAAATAGCAATACTGTAACTAATTTGGCCATGATGTGACCTTTCATTTTCACAATGATGAATAAACTAAAAGTATCACTTCCATATAAAAATAGTATTACTATGTGTTATGAATGTAATTAACATGTGCAATGTTGTCATTATCATATCACATGAGCATCACCAGCATCAATTGTATCACTTCTGTGCCATTCACAGATCGTCTCCCGCAACCTCATGGGATAGTAAAATCTATCAAATACACTCTTCACCGGCAAAATTTGAGTCATCTGGACTCTTTATTAATACTGAGAGTTCTGACACTCTTCTTTTCCTTTCTTTTCTCTTTGCCTGTATAATAGGGAAGAATGAGTTATTTGCAAAGGCCCTGATATACTCATGTATATTTTTGTTAAGGCACGAAAGCACTCTGCCTTTGTAAAGCATGCAGAGTTACAGTAATAAACTTGAAAACCAATTTTCATTTTTAGTGAAATTTATGTGTGCTAATAGTATTTTTAGCAATGTGGGACACTTCATATTCATGTCCCAGTTGTAAGTAAAAATGTTTTATCTTATTTTATTAATTTTATTTTATTCTTTTATTTTGTTAATATTTTGTCATTTTAGCGTATACCTTGTGTTATAAAGCTTTTTTTGAAAGCACTGTCAGGCATGGTATCACAGTTTGTTTTCGTAACCTACTGTATCTGTACAGTGTAAATCTAACTGGATGCGTCTCTTAAAGACGCATAAAAAATATTAAAATATATTTTAATCCTCAAGTTTTATATGAGAATTGTGTCCTTAATCAGGTGGAAAGGATTGTGAATGATCCAACATTATGAACTGCTTCCCTCTGGTAGGAGATAAAGTTTCTAGGTATGTTGAACCGTTATAAGAAATCTTTTGTACCAGTTTCAGTGGGTTTATTTAACAAGAGTTTATTTTAATTAGCATTATAATTATTAGAGCTACTGTATTTTATATTGTTTTTATTGTTTGTTTGTATGAAATGTCTGCAGCAATATGATGATGCCAACAACAAATTTCCTGTCAAAAACAATACAGTTTACTACTACTTCTACCACTACTGCTAAAAATTGAATCAAATAATAAAATAAAACACAATGATTTTTTTCACAGTTTCTTTTTTAACACCCTGTTGTTAGAACCACAAATTCAGGCGTCATGTGTTAATAGGATAATGGGCCTGCAATCAATCAGCTATATACACATTAGAATGACCATCTTTTGATTCTTTAAACAGACCTCTTTGTGGTCAGTCCAGATTGCCTGAGATATTTTCTGCTTGTAAACGCTATAGAGAAGTGCCAATGAGAGGCAGCTGCCGTACTCTCACACTCAGCATTTAATACCCCATCATGGGACGAGCACTTGTTAATGTGACATTGAGTGATGTCCACCCTGACCTCTCCTTCTCTCTCATCTCATTTGCATGTTAAGCATCCTGCCTCTTTTCAGTTCAGCATTGTGAGCGACAC